TTTTTTTTAAGGGGGGAAAATCATCGAATGACTGCTCCCGCCTGGGTGAGGCGGGAGGGAGTGTCAGACTCTTACTGACTAAAAACCACCCCGTTCCTTCTCCTGCACGTCGAGTCGGTGCCCCGGTTACCCGTTAGGTTCTCCGCGACTCCGAATCGGCATCAGCCGTATTGGGCCCCATCTGGTGGTCTGATGGCTCGGGTCTGTTTCTGGTCGGACGGGGAGTCACCCATGCTCGCCGTCCGCAGGCCCGCGCTTACGGTGGCCGGAGATCGTCCCGCGATCCCCGACGCCCGGTGTGTTCTTCGCGAGTGCGCAATTATCTCGCGATTGGCTGAACCGATTTTGATGCGGTTTTGAGAAAAGTATTTGTTGTTTTGTTTTTGTTACACTAAGGAGTAAAGTTTAGTATATTCTTTAAATGACTTCAAAAAAAGAGAGGGTTAAAGTCGGTTTTATTCAACGTAGTTTATACAAGAATTATTGAAATTCTAAGGTTAATATAGTAAGAGATTTTCGCTTAGCGCTCTTCTCCTCCATGCCACTGTCTTCAGTTTATTGTTTTAATCTAGATAGATATAAAATAGACACATCTTAAATTACAGAACTCTTGAAAAAGACGTAAAGATTAATCTTCGATTAAATATATTTTCAAATAGAAATCTATCAATGCTCAACTCGTCGACTTTCTGCAAGGATATTTCTATTGAAATGTAATTTACCGTATTTTCCGTTTCCTCACCGGACAGAAAACTCTGAGTTTATTAGACCCTTATAAACGGCTGCTGGCTCTTGATAAATGTCTGTCGTAAAATATAGATAGTTGGTAACAATAGAAGGTCCGATTTATCTTAATAAATGTATGGTGATTGATTGCCTATTTACCGGACAGTGGGGATGGATATCAGTGATTTCGTTTCGGTTAATGTATCGAGGAATGGATGTTATTTCGGTGTGTCTAGTGGTGTGTGTATGTGTATATGTGTGGCGTCGAATTTGACGAAAGTTTTAATGAGATTATAATTATTGTAGATTAATCGAAAAGTTTATCGTAATGAGGGTTTCATCGTTCAAAATTAATAATTTCGTGGTATTAACATTTTGTTGTATTTAATCTACGAAGCACAATTAATTTTTTGAGATTTTAATAATTAAATTATGTACATACATGTCGCTCTATACTTACGCGTATCACTTTCAGAAATTCAGATTTCAAAACCATTTTAAAATTAATGTTCGCAAAGACCTAAAATGACTTTACCAGCAGCTTAGTTAATATTGTATTTACTACGACTAATTATTTCAAACTTGTATCTTCAAGTTTTAAACAAAATATCTCTTACAACGACATTTAATAATTATGTTATGACTTTAGCTAGTGAGACATACTAAATTAATTATCGTTTCTCAGATTCTTCACTTAATTATTTTACTTTTATTACATGTACAGTAGCATGACAATCGCCGCGTCGCGGGTCGCGGAATACTGCTCATGAATGAGCCTCTAGCATGGCTTGAAACTAGTCGAGTTCCTCGTCAAATAATTAAAGTCAAAGTCAAAGCGTTTATTTCAATTAAACCATAGTTTGGTACTTTTGAAACGTCAACAAATACAAAATAAATAATAGTCTGTCAGTCAGTCCGTCATTACGAAAGTAAACTCAAAAACAGATTAACCTCTCGCGCGTCTCGTACACGGGTTTAATAGAAGGCGAATGAACTATTCTGTTCAATCAAATAAAGAACGGGTTGCAACTTGAAAATATACATACATCACAGAAAAAGTTTCCAATCGGTGCAAGTCACTCTCGTACACCCGTGTGTACAAGAAACGCGCGAGAGGATAATAAACATTCAATAAATAAGCATAACTCACTTGACAATAGCAGGAAAATCAGGCTGGCAGGTCTCAGGGTCTTGTCCCGTACCCTCCAGGATGGTCTGTATGCTGCAGAAGCCGAGGCAGGTCTTGGTGACGTTGGCAGCGACGCAGCAGTCGGTGTAGTTATGTGACAGAGCCAGCGATGAGAGCGTCGGGATGTTGGCTGAGTAACTGTCAGTGACGTTCTGGTTCTCTGGTGGAGTCAGCCCTCTTGATATTACTAGAAAAGAATTGGTTCATTAGTGCAATGTTTGGTTAGTTTTTCTTGGTTCAGAGAATATTTAGAACTTTTTTCTCATAAGATTAGTATAGGTATATTGTGATGTTTTGTCAGTCATCTTTTAGTTTAAAGGATCGAGGGTTGTTCTATGTAAACTTGAGATATTTGCCCGAAAATGCTCATATTTTGATGAATTTTCGAGATGTATCTTTCGTCTAAGACGTTTAGTTGTTTCTGATTTTTTATTTAATCTCATACGACATTTTCTTGCTTAACGCCCGTATACTCAATTTTAATTTGTAGTGAAATATCTTCAGATATATTTTAGCGCGACCTAATATTGAGTGGAGTTTGAGTATTTGGATTTAAATTTTACTGACGTTTACTAACCTGTTAGTTTATGGAAGCTCCTGACAGGAGGCTCTGTGTTCAGCTCGCACATGTACAGCCCAGCATCTGATGCCTTCACAGACTTGATGACTAGCGCCCACACGTCGCCACCCTTCGCGATACCAGGGCCTGGGAGAGGCTCGTCAGCTGAAAGAGTTCAATTTATTAGCACAATTTATTTAAACTCACGGTTTTGTCTTAAATGGGTAGGCAGAAACTATAGTGTGCAACTTCGTATGATTCTTAGCGTCAACAAAAAGCCTTTTTATATGTCCTTAATCCATAAATTTTTTCTTTAGCTTTCATCACATTAAATACAATTGGTTTAATACACACTAATTTAATACATTGGCCGACCTTCTTGATCATTCGACTTGTAACAATGACGTGCATAAAGATATATCGATTTTTCGCAAATCATTCCGAAGGGGATTTGGGATAGAATTTTTGAAAAAAAACTCTCAGTAAAAGTACGAATTCTGGTACTGTGCCAGGTGCATAGCAGTAACATAATTGGAGAAAAGTGAGTGTTACATTGTATATTGCCTACCCTTTTGGGGATTTACTGGAGTTTTGTATTATAACAGATTCAGGGCCAATTTCTCAATCATCAGTTAATTCTGAACTGTGGAATATAATTGACATTTGACAATTTGGCAAATAGTTAAAGTTGTTCCTCAGTTAAGAATTAGCTGTTGATTGAAAAATCGGTTAAAAAACCCTAACTTTTGCTGTCGTATTTATTGCAATACTAGCTTCTGCCCGCGGCTTCACCCTCATTCCCGTGAGATAAAAAGTAGCCTATGTGACATATACCAATACACACAGCGCCATCTATACCAATATTTTTGGTTTCCCTCGGGAATATCATATTTTTCCGGGAAAAAGGTGCCCTATTATTTAATCTGGTCTTCTAATTTTCCCTCTGCAAAAAATCAAAGCAATCGGTTTAGTAGTTACGGCATGAAAGCAGAACAAACAAACAAACAAACAAACTCACTTTCCGATTTATAATATTAGTAAGGATAATAGGAGTGCGATAGCACCTCTATTAGCTCTAATTTTTAATAATTGTATCGACCGCGGTGTGTTTCCTGATCTTATGAAAAATAGTAAAATAACTCCGTTATTTAAATCAGGTAGTACTTCTGACCCCACTAACTTTAGACCTATTTCAGTACTACCTACATTTAGTAAAATTTTTGAAAAAATTATTCTAAATCAAATGCAAAGATTTTTTAATAGAAATAAATTGTTACATAGTAACCAGTTTGGTTTTACCAGGGGTCGTTCAACAACTGATGCCGGTGTTGAACTTCTTAATCACATATATGACGCGTGGGAGGACTCAAGCGACGCTTTGGGCATTTTTTGTGACTTATCCAAGGCGTTCGATTGTGTCCTTCATGATACATTGATCAGGAAGCTATCCCATTATGGAATAAGAGGTAAATCTCTGGATCTTCTTACCTCATACTTGAGTAACAGGATTCAGAGAGTCGAAATAAACGGAAAAGTCTCCACCGGGTCTGTTGTCAGGATGGGGGTTCCGCAGGGGTCAATTCTCGGCCCATTTTTGTTTCTTATATATATAAATGACTTACCTTACCTTGTAAGGGATAACCACGGGATAGTACTGTTTGCGGATGATACTTCGTTATTATTTAAACTTAAACGTAGACAATTAGTTATTAATAATGTGAACAGTGCTCTCTCGGAGATAGTACGCTGGTTCAATGCCAACAACCTATTACTAAATGGAACTAAAACTAAATGCATTAAATTTACAACACCAAATGTTGGACATGTGAAAACCAGCGTGCTCATTAAGGGTGAGGAGTTGAGCCCTGTAGATTCTACTGTCTTTTTAGGTATAACCCTAGACGCTAAGCTCCAGTGGGCTCCACATATAAATAAGTTATCGAAAAGGCTCAGTTCTGCAGCATATGCCGTTAAAAAAATTAGAAATCTAACCGATGTAGATACAGCGCGATTAGTATACTTTAGTTATTTTCATAGTGTTATGTCATATGGTATTCTCTTATGGGGGAATGCTGCTGACATTCAATCTATCTTTGTTCTGCAGAAGAGGGCCATTCGATCAATTTATAATCTTAGTCCGAGGTACTCTCTCAGGGAACTATTTAAAGAAATTAATATAATGACGGTTGCTTCTCAATACATTTATGAAAATTTAGTATATGCTCATAAAAACAAAAGTTTATTTAAAAAACATAGTGATATACATAATATAAACACGAGAAATAAAGACAAATATGTTGTTCCCACTACTAGACTAAAGAAAATAAGTGGTTCGTTTAGATGTCAGAGTATACGCTTTTACAATAAGATTCCCAGCCATATCCAAAATTTGAGTCTAAATAAATTTAAAAATGTCATTAAAGATAAATTTTATAGTAAAGCTTATTATAAAATAAAAGACTACCTAGATGATAGTCTGGCTTGGGAATAAGCTGCTGTAACGTCCACACAGGTCATGTTGACATGTTTGTAACATATAGTTACATTTCTTTTTTTATATGCAATTTGACATTATTGTTTTAATGTGACATTGTTTTTCATATGTTGTTCTAACTTGACATTTACTTTTTATTTAACAATTGTTAGTGCTAGGACCGTGCGAGACTTTGCCTCACCATTTCTTTTCTAATTACCCTTTTTCTGACAGTTTGAGTATTTGTGCGACCCACGCAAATGTTCTTTAGGTTGGTATTGTTCGTCGAATCAGTCAGCCTCACCTGTTAATTGAGCTGACTGTAAACCGACACATGCGTACTGCCTTCAGAACGGGTCCGCTCAAACTGTTGTGGTTCTTTCCTCAAAAGCCCACTACAGAAAGAACTGGCACGGTTCTCACACATAATCTGTTATACATATTGTCTGGACTTTAAAAGAGACAGACCTCTGAGTTTGTTTCGGCATTTCTTCTCAGAGTAGTCAGTTAGGAAATGTCGACCTCATCGTTCGCTTGATAAAATTGACGTGTAAAAGTGCTGCCTTGTAGCCTATTTGCAGAAATAAATTCACTTGTTTCACTTGTTTCACTTGACTAGTAGGATTTGCTTTCAATATTCGTGTCGATATATTGTATTAGTAGTATCTTCATTTATTAATTTAGTGTCCCTACGTCTAGCAAAGTTTATTACAAATTGAAATGGAGACTAGACTCCATTTATCCAATACCTAACTTTGAGTAGACTAGAAATAGGGTTAAAGTTTAAACTAAGACCTTTATAATAGTAACCACAAGTAATTACTGTAGTAGTTATCAACTAAGTTTAGATTGCATAATTTATAACATAACATCACGTCTTTTACCCCCGAAGGGGTAGGCAGAGGTGCACATTACGGCACTTAATGCCACTGTGCAATGTAACACCCACTTTTCACTATTTATGTTATGAGTTTCATGTAATAGAGGGTGAGCCCATTGCCATATATTAGGCACATTTCCAGGCTCCTTGCTACTGCTGAGACTTTTTTTTAAACCCAGTAATAGTTTGTCCGACCCAGGAATCGAACCTGAGACTCCTTGGGTTGACCGTTCGGCCAGCGAGGCAGTCATTATATGTATAATACAGTACGTCAATCATCACGGTTGTTATTTCTTTAGGGTAGACAGTTGTGCAGATATTGTTTAAAATGTTCACGTTATTATATTAATTTTTACCCGTTTTACAGAAACAGGTACTTATAAGAAAAAAAAAGCAATTCATGTTTAACAAAAGTCTTAATTGTGTAACTATGAAGCTGTACTAAAAATCAGAAAGTTTTTACACATACATACATAATTATTCTAGCCTTTTGTCTCAGTCTAAGTAATTTAGACTCCTGATATATAACCTAGAACAGATAAACAAAAACCCAAAAAAACTGAATATCCGTCTTCGCAATCGAACACGAGACCAATTACTAGACAGTCAGGACATTACTCAGATTTCTCTGCTGAGCTACCTCTCAACAAAAAACGTGATATTTAAAAAGAAAACTAAGTAGTCTTCTGTTTCTATCAGAAGCCATTATAATTGCAGATTCAGGGAGCTCGGTAACACGTAAATAATGTATTTGGTGCAAGGTCGACTCCCAGCTTATGTACGAATTGTTTTTCAAGTGAACCCAAGGAAAATGCTTTTTAATTTAATTTTTTTGTACGTGTAATTGTTTTTTGGTTGTTTTTATAGTTTGAGTATGCGAGTTTTAAGGTGATATTTAATTTAAAAAAAGGTTTTGAACCACTATTTTGTGGGTTTTGAGAACGTAAGTAATACATTTTTGAAATAGACAAACGATCTTCATCCTAGATAGTTTTGTATTCAAATACTTAAAGTATTTTTAGATTTTTCGTGAGCTTAACAGAACTGGGACAATTTACATATAGTTAGATCATTAAGGAGGAAACATAAGGGTTGCCTGGAATGTTATCCGGGTGTGACTGAACTAATTAGTTATTTCGTAAAAACCGAAAATATTAAAATCAATGATGTTTTCGTCCTCTGTACCAAACCATTAAATACATTAATTAGTGAAAAATAATTTTCTTAAAGTAATTACGACACACACGGCAAACATAATATAATTTTGTAGTTATAATAATAAACATCCAAAATACTCACTATCATCATGAAGAACCTCAACTCTATCATCCCTGGTCACTCTGACGCCGCCTGCAGTCAGGACTCGAAGGTCTTTGGCCCTCCTCCATAACACTGGCCGACCTTTGGCTCCTAGCACGACGCATGTGAGGAGGGCATCCTCCCCACTTCTTACAGCTACTCCGCCAACCGCTGGAGTCCTCATGTAGGCCTTGGATTCCTCCACTTCCTCCTGGGAGCTCCCCGTCGAGACGCTCGCACTTTCCACTGACTCATTCTTTACTTGTTCTGTGGAAAAAGAGAGGTGGTGATTAGAAAATTGGGGATTAGAGAACTGGTGATAGATGTTATGTTGTATCATTGGTGAACATAGCTTTTTGTCGTTATACCTATTTATATTTCTACGATATTTTAGGAGAGAGGAGATTATATATAGTGTCATACTCATAAAACCTGTTGAAATATCGTCCCCTAAAGTTGGTCTTACAAAAGTAGTCTCTAAATATCGGAAATAAGGTCTATAATGGAGTTAGTGGAGAACGGTCACCGGTGACTGCTTGAGGATAAATGAGTGACACTACATAATTATAATATCCTCTCTCTCTCCTCATTTATTATAGTCATAAAATTATACAAGTTGTGAATTAACCAAATTGTCTTTATTTCATTAAATTCAATGAGTATTAATTAAAAGTATAAAACAACTACCAGTAATTTATCTTAGCTCTATATACACCTAAACATTTAACAAACAAATATTATATATTTATGCACACACACACAGGTGCCTTCATATTAAATTCAATCAAAACAGAACAAACGAAACTATAGCAAACACTAAGTATCACACTAATACTATTATTACAAATGTGAAAGTTTCTTTGTTTGGCTCTTTGTGCGTCAATCACGCTGAAACTACTGAACGGATTTTGATGAAATTTGGTATAGAGACTGACTTAGGTGATAGATTTTATATCTCGATTAAATGCTACATTTTTTTTATAGCATAATCCGTTAAACGAGGAGACGGTTCACCTTATGGTAAGCAATCGGCGTCGCCCATAGACACCTGAAACACCAGAGGCGTTACAAGTGCGTTACCGGCTTTTTGGGGATTAGGAGTTTGATCGTTGGGGATTCGGGGATTGGGGATATTGGGGAATGGGAGGGTTATTGGGCCTCCGGTAACCTCACTCACATGACGAAACACAACGCAAGCGTTGCTTCACGTCGGTTTTCTGTGAGGCCGTGGTATCACTCCGGTCGAGCCGGCCCATTCGTGCCGAAACATGGCTCTCCCACACTGTATGAAATCCATGGGATAAAACAGGAATACGCGAGCTAAGCCGCTAGTAAAAGCTAGTATACATTATATTTATATGTCGCAGTAAGATAGATAAAGCTGTAATATAGTTATATCCCTAGGGATATAATTATAAACAGTAACATAGATATATGAATGCACATAAACATCTTAAAAGTTAAAATGATGAACATGCAAACAATAAACCATCGCCAAGTCCAACCACAATTAGGTAAAGTTGTTTGTCAAATAACTTAAAGTTAGTAACAAAATCACTTTCTATCCTAAGTATTGATACACTGTCACACTTCAAAAGGCCTTTTGAAGGATTTAAAAGGCCATTTGGACCTTCCCTTCACCTCTAAAAAGGTCATCTACTTCACTTCGTTGGCGAATACAAATGTTCTGAATACTTTTGTGGTCGGGTCCCAATGTAGACGATTTATTTGTAGCAAATCCTTTTTTCAACTTTATCGTCGAAGTGTAGAGTTGAAAATGTGTTGGTTGATTGGTATAGGTAGATAAACTGGTGTATGGGTAATGTAAAAAAAAAACAACTAGACGAACATAGTACCTCCTCCTTTTTTTGAAGTCGGTAAAAAGGTATGTGAAGCTACTTTGTGTAAGTCACCTTAGACTTAAGTTCTTATGTATATTTTGTTAACCACAATATTGTTTGTTGACTTTTAATGTATATTAAGGGTGAGTATAGGAGTAATGAGTGGTGGTGAGTATAATCACTCTTTGTATGTCGTGGTGGCTCGGAGGCTTAAGGTATAAGGTGCGAGTTCAAAATTTACCAACAGCAAGTATCAATGTGACTTTTCCGAGTTATATGTACTTTCTATAATTATTTAGACACCACTGACAAACGGCGAAGGAAAACATCGTGAGGAAACCTGGGCTTATATTTTCTAATTATAAGTTTGTAATCGCCAACCCGCATTGAGCAAGCGTGGTGATTAATACTCAAACCTTTTCCGTGTGAGAAGAGGCTTTGCTCAGCAGTGGGCATTTATAGGCTGTTGATTTATAGGTGGCTCGGAGGTTTAAGGTGCGGGTTCAAAATTTACTCCGTGTGAGACCTCTTCTCTTTGGTCAGCAGGGGATACTTATAGGCTGATGATGTCAATGTGGTTATATAATTTAACGAGATTAATGAGTTGCAATCAAAACGAAATAACATATCTATCCAATTTTAAAACTTAAAAACAAGTAAGTTAAGACCCATTATTTTAAGATTCTGAAACTAAACTAGGCACAATCAAATTAAAAACACAGAACCAACATAGTCACGACTTTCAACTTTAACTCACCAGCAATAGAAACCATTTCCCATTGCAACGTGACTTGACTTAAAGCATAATATTTTGCGAATATTAAAAATAACAAGCGATTGTGTGCCTTCATAATATTGAAATAAATTATACATTCGCGTTATCGTTCGCATTATTATATTTTGTAAGCATACATGTACCTACTCGTCAAGTTAAACTAACCAATTTATCATGATCTAACATTGTAAGATCTTTCTGTACGTTCGACGGTCAATTTATACTGGATTTGTAAAGCTTCATGTGGAGAGATGTATAGTCTTTTATCGAGATTTATATGAACAATAGGTTCTCGATAAGTCAAATTTACTTTTTGCAGAATATTGCTTATAAATATTGGATTTTTATTACATTTCAGCTCGATAATGTAAAGGAGGTGTTCTTTTAAAGAATAAATGAAAATAATACTGTTTCCTATTTATTTTACTAAGGGCTCGTACATAAAACTGCGATGCGACGTCGCATAGTAAAAATGTCCAAGCTCCCTATACGCATCGCAAAAACTTGCGAATTGATTCGTATCGCACATCAAAATCTTCTTTGTTTCTTTTTCATGTATCTCCTAAGTAATAACAGAAGTGCACATTTCTTTTTACGGTCCATGTCACGTCCTAGTTTTCAATTTAAAATAAGTACGTTTAGTACGGTTGACCATCGTCGAAGGAATGGTCACTCTGGGAGACGCCTTGTTGCACGAAATCGCATCGCAGCAATTTGCATCGTAATTTTGTATCTTATAAGGCTTCATGCACACAGTAATGTACAAGGTGGGCCTAATGCCATGGGCTTTCTACTCCAGCCAGACCTTTGGGTGATGTAGAGATAAAAACAATGGTCGATGCTAGAAGCAAGCGTATTTAAGACCAAGAGAAATACATAAAAAGGAAAGGATAGACTTATATAAAATCCATCTTACTTACATAAAATAACTATCGTGATACATACTAACTATACTTTATTTTATTTTTGAGTGATATTAGTATTCTTGTATGTATGTATGTATAGTATTTTATACAGTTATTAATTAATGTACACTGGACGACCCATATCAGACTCCTGTTACAGCTCCATCCAAAGGTTGTCTGTAAGAAATCGCCTTGTGTGATAAGACCGCCCATTGTACACTATTTTTGTTTTAAGAAATATGGTCCTGTAGTACAATTGTGTGGTGTATAATAAAGCATATTATTATTTATTATTACAAAATTAACTAAAAGTCGCGGGTTACTCACGTAAAAATACTGAGAAAAGCTCTACTAGTTTCGAGTCATAGAGGGGCCCTCGTGAGCAGCGTGCGTGATGTCGCACAGCCTGTGTGCGAGCTACGCCGTACAGTGTATGTGCTACTTAATCAACCCACTCTCAATAAAACGTTGCAGTTTAGTTAAGGCAATAATTATTACATTTTAACAGATTATATTTAGTAGCTATTAAACCCTTATACCGATCGGTTGTCTACTCATTCAACAACATCTTCATAACATCTTCACTGTTGGAAATTAAGTCCCAACAGCCTGTCTGATTTTTAGTTATCTCCATTAAACTGTCAAACACCGCAAGGACACCGGTCACCGCAACCTATTGTTCTTTAATTGTGTCTATAATGACGGTACTCAACGAGTTAAACTATCAAACCCATAGCTGATACCCATTTAAGAAATTGTAAACAATGTTGTACATTGACCTATTGTCTCTACACTCGCCCCATCACTGCGACCGCACCCCAGCTCATTATGATTCATCGCACCCCACTCACGTAGGTTCGAGTCCCGGATAAAGAAATCAACGCAAATTGGCCGTACACACGCTCCAATTTACCACATATTTCAGAATAACGAAACAATCTTTATGATAACTAGTCCCGAGTGGATTTAGAAAAATTGCAAAAGAAAATACTTTTTTATGGACACCTTGTATGAATGGGGTAGAAAGAAAACGTTTGGACGCGAAGTGAGTTGCAATGAGGTGAGGTGAGGTTATGTTTATTTACGTCAAGTCTAAGAAAGATGGTTATGTTTATAAATATGGAGGTTTTACCACATAACTGTAAGGGCCTGTCCGCATAGCGATATTTCATTGCGAAGTTTTTATTCTCGCATATTATATTTCGTAACCGGAATTACGCCTAGTTTTTAGGTGTAGCGGCTGTACTACTTACTAGCTGCTCAGTGCCTTTAGCCAAACGCCATTTTAGCGCTTGTCTAGTAGAAAACTAAATGTATGGGCATGACACTGGCAAGTGTCTAAATCTACGTCAATCTCATATAATTTAGTTTTCTACTTTACAAGTAGACAAGCGCTTAATGGCATTCGGCTACTGCTGCAGAAATGTGGGCTGACGGCGCGCGGGCGGTACGCTTACAGCTTTTTCATATTGATGTTATGAAATATGTCATAGGATATGACCTATGACATATTAAAGCCGATTTAAAGTTCATATTTAACTGACCTCTACAGTGCAACCAACCACAAAGCGATCAATAAGATAAGCAGGGAAATTAAAAATCTCAACGCAATGTAAAGTTTCAGCAGTTTTTAATTTATGTAAATGGAAGAGAAGAATGGAAGCTTACTGAAGTTTCAGCTTACATATCCAATTACTTGCTCATATATGCTGAAGTCTGAATTATTCAGTTTCGAAGCTAATTCTT